AAAAAAAAAGAAAGAAAGAAATGTGAGGGTGGGGACACTGTGGCGGCTCTGAGGGACCTTGGCCCTTCCCTCCCCCTTTGACCTTCATAGTCTCGAGAGATAGACCGGGCCCGCCGAGTGGACATCCGAGAAGCCAACATGTACTTCCTGATTGAGGCCACCGCCGCCCTCTCTGTCTCCTTTCTCATCAACCTCTTTGTCATGGCTGTCTTTGGGCAGGCCTTCTACCAGCAAACCAACCAGGCTGCGGTGAGACAAACTTTTCCCTGCCCCTGAGGCCACACCCATACTCATGTCCTGTAAGCCTTGCCGAGGACCCTAGGCAATACAGCTGAGCCCTTCTGAGTCTCTGCCCTGATCATCTTCCCTGTCGGTAGATATCATTCATTCAGCCAATAATTATTGAGCATTTGTTATGTACCAAGTGCATCTTAGACCCTGGAGATACAGCAGTCAATGCTACAAAGACCCTGCTCTCTTGCAGCTTAAATAGGGAGGGAGATGAGCAGACAGGAATGAATACCAGAGGGAAGTGCAGAGTGGGAAGAAATAAAGGGGGTGGGTCAGGCTTGGTGGCTCATGCCTGTAATCCCAGCACGTTGGGAGACTGAGGCAGGCGGATCACGAAGTCAGGAGATCGAGACCATCCTGGCCAACATGGTGAAATCCCATCTATACTAAAATACAAAAATTCAGCCAGGAGTGGTGGTGCGTTCCTGTAGTCCCAGATACTCAGGAGGCTGAGCAGGAGAATTGCTTGAACTTGGGAGGCAGAGGTTGCAGTGAACCGAGATGGCGCCACTGCACTCCAGCCTGGCGACAGAACAAGACTGCATCAAAAAAGAAGAAAGGAAGGAAGGAGGGAAGGAAGGAAGGGAGGGAGGGAGGGAGGGAGAGAAAAGAGGCTGGGTGCGGTGGTTCACATTTAAAGAAAGAAAGGAAAGGAAAGAGGCCGGGCGCAGTGGTTCACACTTGTAATCCCAGCACTTTCGGAGGCAGAGGTGGGTGGATCACTTGAGGTCAGGAGTTCAAGACCAGCCTGGCCAACATGGTAAAACCCCATATCTACTAAAAATACAAAAATTAGCTGGGTGCGGTGTTGCGTGCCTATAATCCCAGCTATTCGGGAGGCTGAGGCAGGAGAATTGCTTGATCCTGGGAGGCGGAGGTTGCAGTGAGCTGAGATCGCACCACTGCACTCCAGCCTGGGCAACAAGAGCGAAACTCCATCTCAAA